TCGGGAAAGAAGGAGAGCATTGTCGAGCCAAGCTCTCGGCAAAGCTATGTAAACTGTCAGCTCCCATGAAGGATTGCCGAGAGCCACTCTCGGCAAGCATATCATCATTTTTTTACTGATAAATGTGACCAGTGGGACCACATGTCAGTTAGAAAAAACACATACACACAAAAAAAAGGATGTTGCATGTGCTTTGCTGAGAGCCACACTCGGGAAAGTAGACAGTAACTGACGGAGCCGTCTGTTGCGGACCGGCATGCCACGTGGCTACTTTTTGCCGTGAGCGTCTCTCGGCGTCTGGAGGGTTTGTCGTGCGGTGCCTCTTTGCCGTGAGGCAGTGACGGCAAAGAGTGTAGTTTGCCGTGAAGGTGGGTTTGCCGAGAGTGACACTCGGCAATGCTTGCTTTGCCGAGCGTCCGTGTTTTAGCACTCGGCGAAGAGCATTACACCCGACGTACGTGAAAATTCCAGTAGTGATAGTGCAAAACCATTTGACATGGATGCATTAACTATCTCTGAAGTGACTCAAAGTGCATTCAAAAAGAAAGAAAGAAAAGAAATTTAAGATATTACATTGCTACTCTTCTTTACATGAACTTCTGTTGCTAGCTACTACCCTGCCAATTCTTTTCTTTATCTAGAATGCATGTGTAGGAGGCCACATGCTTTATTTTAAGAATGTCAGTAGAAACTTATCCCATATCGGGACGATCTTTGGGTGATGCCATGGAGCAAGAGAGGCCTATTCTTAGAAGTGGAACGATGCAATTCTCCATCATGTCAATTGCATTGTTGTTATCTTGTAGCATTGTAAGATCAACAACCTCATGAATATTCTTTGTAAATTCTCTATCAACAAATTTATGAAGGCTTATACCATCGTTAAATTTTTCATCAGTTGGACTACACCCTGTTATCAGTTGTAACAGAAGCACTCCGAAGCTATAGACATCACCCTTGGTTGATATCTCTTCCCTCATTCCATACTCTGCGTTTACATGTAAAAATAATAATAAAATTAGAGAATCATCATTATTTTTACAACTGCATAAGGAACAAACAGAAACAATATCTTGCAAGAAAGCTTATCTCACCTGGTGGGATGTATCCTATGGTCCCTTTTAAGCATCTTAAACTTGCTGAACTATCTTGATATGCATTTGCTGTGCTGAACAAGAATCTTGCTAGGCCAAAGTTGATGACATACGCAGCCATGTCAAGGCCCAAACGAATATTGCTTGGCTTCAGGTCACAATGTATAGCTGGAGGTGCACACTGATTGTGAAAATAATCCAAAGCAACTGCCAGATCCAAGGCTATGTTAGTCCTTTGGCTTAAACTCAGAATATTCTATTCACCATCTTCAGGATCTTTTAGACGTAACCACGTTTCTAGATTCCCATTTGGCATGTATGGGAACACTAGGGCCTTGAAATCTGCCCCAGTATGATCCACAGAAGAGCATGAGGTAATGATTTTTACAAGATTCCGATGGCGAACATTTCTTAGAGTTTCACACTATGCTATGAAGCTCCTGTCTGCCCCATTAATGTCAAGGTCGAAAATCTTGATAGCAACTTGATCTTCTTGAAACTGCAGACTTCCCTTCTAAACCCTTCCAAATGATCCAGAACCAATTGAGTTTGCAGAAGAAACCCTATCAGTTGTCCTTACCAAGTCTTCATATCATATGATATCTTCTCATTGTGATATTGCAAATGGAGATTTGCTTGCATCCATTTCCTCCAATAAATTGTTACAACACAAGAGGAAAGGATTGTAGTGGCAGCAACAATTGGCAATAGAATCACTAGGACTAGAACCAGTATGGTAGGACTAGGGTTCCTACCAGCTCTGCTCTGTAGGTTGTAGGGGCAGAACAGCAGAGGTTGGGGGCCAGGGCGCGAGCTCCGGTGCGTCGGCGCCGTCGTGAGGAAGGAGGAGGGCGGCGGCGGTTAGGGATGGTGGCGGCTAGGGTTCCGGCTCCTCTGAAGCCGGGCAATAGGATAGAAAATATCTTTATTGCTTGATTCCAAAAAGAGTCTTACAGCCTATATTTATAACCTAGATAACTTGTATAAGAATTAACCTAAGATAACTTGTGGGCTAAGATTGTCCGGTGGGCCTAGCTAAACCGGTCATAACACTTCTCCCTGCCTGCACAAACAGCTCATCCTCGAGCTGTAAGGTGGGAAAGTGCTTGCTGAACTTCTCGAGGTGATCAACCAGCGTCAAACACCTTCTCGGCCACCACCTTGTCGGCAGCTGGGGCGGCCAGGTCGGCGGCGACGGCGTCCTTCGGAATGTAGTCTGTAACCTCCAGGTAGAAGAGTCGCGGAAGGCATGGCCGGGCGTGTAGGGCTCGTCGCAGTTGAAGCACAACCCTTGGCGGCGATGCTCGAGTAGCTCGGATGAGGTGATCCGGCGGAACGGGCGCACCGCGGTCGCGGCGAGGGGTGTCGCGGAAGCCTGCGCAGGCCGACCTTGCACAGAATCCGGCCTGGGTAGCGACCCAGCGGTCCGGAACGGTGATGCCTGCTGGATGACCACCGCGTGGCGCTCGAACGTGCGGGCATAGTACATGGCCGACTGGAGATCCTGGGGTCCCCGAAGTTCCACGTCCACGCGGATGTGATCCGGAAGTCCACCGACGAAAAGGTCGGCCCGCTGCTGCGCCGTCACACCCGACGCGTGGCATGCTAGGGCCTGGAAGCGGTCGGCGAAGTCCTGCACTGTGGAGGTGAAGGGAAGGCGACCGAGCTCCGCTAAGCGGCTTCCACGGACCAGGGGCCCAAAGCGAAGGAGGCAGAGCTCGCGGAAGCGCTCCCAAGGGGGCATGCCGCCCTCGTCCTGCTCGAGGGCGTAATACCATGTCTGTGTTGCGCCACGGAGATGGTACGAGGCGAGCTAGGTCCGCTCCGAGGCGAGGGTGCGCTGCCCGCGAAAGAACTGGTCACACTGGTTGAGCCAGCTGAGAGGGTCCTCCGTGCCGTCATAGTTGGCGAAGTCGATCTTGGTGAACCGCGGTGGTGTCTGGGTCGGAGCGCCGTGTCGAGATGGCTCGGAGGTGCGGAGCAGCGAGGCGGGTGGCGCCTGGTCGAGGTACTCCGGGTAGGGACCCACGGAGCCAGATGGCCCACCGAACTGCGGAAACGGGGTCGCCTGCTCCGGAGCCGTGGTGTAGACCGGTGAAGGTGAAGACCCAGCCGCCCAAGCTGGTACTGGAGACGGGGATGGCGGAAACCGAACTTGTTGTATCGGAAGGCCGACCGGCGAGGGTGCCCCCGATCTAGGCAGGGCCGGCGCCGGTGGTTGCAGCGGCAGTGGCGGGGGCTGGACAGGGGCGGTGGACGCCGGGGACGACAACGACTACAGGTGCCAGAGGGGCGCCGTCGACGGCGGCTGCAGAGGTCCGGTGGGAAGGCCGGCGTAGGACCCCGTGGCGCCCGACGCCTCGGGCTGCAACTGGGAACCCGACGGTGCCCGGGCCTCCGTGTAAGGCGGCGGGGGCGACGTCCCGTGGAGCCAGCCTAGAAGCGGAGACGGTGACGACGGAAAGCAGACCTCCTGGATCGGGAGTTCGCCTGGCGCGGACCGGCCCAGGCTAGGGCCGGGCGGTGGCGGTGGCGATGGCGGCACCTGCACTGTGGCCGTCGGGAGGGACGGCTAGGCGGGGGGTGGCATGGGCTAGGCCGGCCACTGCGGGCCCTGGGCAGTGGCTGGCGGCGCGGGTGGCGCCGCGAGCGCCGGCGTGGGCCACTGAGGCCAAGGCAGCGTCGAAGCAGCCGGCGATGGGAGCGCCGGGTACCCCCTGGTGATGGCTGCGGGGATGGAGTACCACGGCAGGCCCGGCTGTCCCGCGGCCGGAGGTAGCAGCGGGGGCGGCCCGTACGGGCTAGCCAAGTAAAGGAGTATGCCTTGGACCGCGACGACTAGGTCGTTAAGCATGCCGGCCATGGCCTCCGGCGAAAACTAGTTTGGCATGGGTGGAGGCGACGGCGGCGATTTTGGCGGGCGGCAGTGGCTGGCCCTGTCCCGGCGTTGTGCCGGGGGCGGGGGTGATTGGCGCCGACGGGAGGGTCAGCGAGGCCGTGGCGCTCGGCGATGATGCGGCGGCGGTGGTGGAGTTGGTGGCAGCGTCGGTGGGGGAGTTGGTGGGCAGCGGCGGCGGTGGTGGCGGCGGAATTGGTGGCGGCGAGGACATGGTCGAAACCCGGGTACCTGATACCAAATTGGTAGGACTAGGGTTCCTACCAGTTCTGCTCCGTAGGTTGTAGGGGCAGAACAACAAAGGTTGGGGGCGAGGGCGCGAGCTCCGGTGCGTCGGCGCCGTCGCGAGGAAGGAGGAGGGCGGCGGCGGTTAGGGCTGGTGGCGGCTAGGGTTCCGGCTCCTCTGGAGTCGGGCAATAGGATAGAAAATATCTTTATTGCTTGATTCCAAAAAGAGTCTTACAGCCTATATTTATAACCCAGATAACTTGCCTAAGAATTAACCTAAGATAACTTGTGGGCTAAGATTGCCCGGTGGGCCTAGCTAAACCGGTCATAACACAGTAGTCTCTACTTTTTTGCTGCCAGCCAGTGTCATACAAAGAGAAATACATCCCGTTGGGATGCTTGTACACAGATGATCATTTCCTTCGATTGACACCGCACCAGCGATGTCATAACTGCTCCAGTGAAATGGTTGAAGGATGAACTCGGGTCTTGCATTGATTTCAAGGATTGGAGGAACTCTGGTAGTTTTCCAGACAAGTTTTTCCCAGAAATATCCATGTGTTTTATGCTGACTAAGTTGGCCAATGTTTGTGCAGTCCTTCCTGCAAATAAGTTGTTTTGCATCTCAAGATACCCCAGATCAACACACTGGCTGAGGGTTGATGTAATGTTGCCGGACAACCTGTTATTTGACATGTTAATTTTCTGCAGATGAACGAGATTGCTAACTTCATCTGGCATTCCTCCAGACAAGCTAGAGGAAGCATAGAGATTTTAAAGATTTAACCAGGTAGGAGCCCATCCAGTGAGTTGTAAGAAAGGTTTAGTTTGGTGAGTTGAGTGCATCGTGCTATGCTTGCTGGTATTCTTCCACTGAGACTGTTATGATCCAATTCGAGTAACCTCATCTGGACAAGATTGCCAACAGTATCTGGAATCTGACCTGAAAGCATGTTCTGCGCAAAGGATAGATTGATCAAGTTGTGCAATTTCCCAATTGTTGGTGGTATATTACCAGTGAAAAAATTGTAGTCCATGTACAATATACTGAGGCTCTTAAGGTTGCCAATCTCCGGTGGTATAGGTCCAAAAATTTGGTTGCTATTCAGCCACAACGAGTCAAGACTATCTGAAAGATTTCCAATAGAACTTGGCAATTTTCCATTGAGATTGTTTCCATCGAGGGCCAGCATGTTTAATCTGGAGCAGTTAGATAGTGAAGAGACAAATCCCCAGTCATCTGCTTCTAGCTCGTTGGATGCCAAATCGAGATGCACTAAATTTGGCAGCGAGCCGAAGAATGGTATGAATCCAATAAATCTATTATTGTTCAAGTCAAGCCAGCGTAGGTGGTAAGCTTTGAGAAGAGAGGCTGGGATTGGTCCATCAAAATTATTTCCTGAGAGTATTAAGTCCTTGATATTATGTAGGGTGTAGCCGACGTCGATGGGTAATATTCCAACAAGTGAGTTGTCAAATGCGCCAAGACTTTTCAGGGATGACATGTTGAATATAGAAGGTGGAACAGGTCCAGATAAGTTGTTTGTACTCAAGGTCAATATCTCTAATGTTGGAATATAACCTAAGCTCTCGGGGATGCTCCCAACTAAATGATTGTCTGCGAGACGAAGATGAAGTAGGGAGGAAAGGTTCCCTAGTGAGGAAGGTATTCTTCCCGAAAGATGGTTTTCCCCTAAATAGAGATGCTTAAGAGGGGAAGAGATGACAGTAACAGAAGGTATGGAACCAACGAAATTGTTCTGTGTGAGGCAAATGGCACCAAGTGACAAAGTGTTGAGGAGAGCCTTTGGGAGTTCTCCAGTAAGACTATTGCTCATGAGCCTAAGTACTTGAAGAGATGAACTATTTGACAAGGACTCGGGGATGACCCCTCCAAGAGCATTGATCCCGAGATCAACATATGTGAGATAACGGAAGCTGCCCAAAGATGGCGGTATGTTGCCGGTAAGTGTGTTACTGGCCAGATCTAATATGCGCAGCTCAGGAAGGTTTCCGAAAGCAGGAGGGATGCTCCCTTGGAGCTTGTTTTTTCCAAGGTTAATCTCTTGAAGGCGCTTGCATTGGCTAAGGCTAGCTGGGATCTCTCCGCTGAGGGAATTTTTCCACAAGCCGAGAACTTGGAGTTGGGAACATGCAGAGAGTTGGGGCGGGATGGTACCTTCCAAAGTGTTCATGCTGAGGTTGAGGTTGGTGAGCCGGCTCAGGAGGCCAAGCTCGGACGGCACGCCGCCACCGAAGCTGTTGTTGGACAGCTGGAGCCTTGCCAGCCAAGTGAGGTTAGCGATGCAAGGCCGGATGGAGCCCGAGATGCCTTGGGATTCAAGGTCCAGCGCGATGACACGCCGAGGGGACATCACACCGCAGGTGATCCCGTGCCAGTTGCAGAACTCCATGGACACGTTGCTCCATGAAGTTAGAGCTCCGGCGGGTGCCGAGAGCCCGGACTTTAAGCACAGGAGGGCTTGTCTATCGCTCTCTGATTCCTTGCAGATGCCTAGTAACGGTAGGCTGCAGAAGAAAGCCAAGAAGAGGCAGAGAGGCCGACAGAGGCCTGGAAACAACAAAGTTGCCATGACTCTGCTATCGGTCGGGATGAATGGAAGCTCTCGCTTTGCAAGAGGATGTTTATTAACTGTGGTGTGACGGTATGGCTCACTGCACCCACTTTAAGTAGAAGGACGGCAATGCAATACCATAACAGAATGTGTGATGACACTGATGATGCTGGCACACACACGCAACCAAGAGATAGTGGAGCCTAACCTTAGGGTAAGCATATAATTGACTGACTACTCATACTGTAAGCAAAAAACGTGCAGGCCCAGGTCTGCAGGAAATGCACTGGTTGATTAATGAGGCGATCGAGAAGCTTCCTCACAGGAGAGAGACAGAGCAAAGTTTCAAAGGTGAGGATGCAGGTTAATAATTAGAACTCCAGCCAAACTAGATGGTATCTTCAACTTCAAGTGGGAATGTACTATCCCTGGCAACAAAATAAAAACCTCAGAATACAAATATGATAGAGTAACTCGGCTCGGACGACTGAGACACAAAAGAAATCTTATGGAAGCAATAGTTACTATAGCTAGCAACTCCGAAAACGATATCCGCATTGCGCCAAACTGTGCCAGCGCCACAATATTTGTCTGAAGTGCAGTCTTCTCTCTATTCTTTGACGGGCGTAGTCTGAAGTAGCATAGTCTTCGTCTTCGCACATTAGTTGGTATGAACGGACGCGTTCCCTCTTTAATTATTCAAATATTTTTTCGTTCTTTTGACTAGTTGAACGCATGTGGTAGTTCACTTGGTAAGAATGAGATAGTTAGCTAAGCTGAGTGCCTTGGTGAGATTAATCAGCAATGGAATCAACTGGTGCTACTCATGTCACAGTGGAATCAATTGAAATTTTTACCAATGGTGAACATATTTTCTACTCCCTCCGTTCCTAAATACAAGTCTTTGTAGAGATTCCACTATAAACTACATACGGATGTATATAGATGCATTTTAAGTGTGGATTCATTCATTTTGCTCCGTATGTAGTCCACCTAGTGAAATCTCTACAAAGACTTACATTTAGGAACGGAGGGAGTAGATTTTAAAATTCATGTTTTGGAACTGGAATAAAATGTTGATGAAATTGTATGAACCAAATTTTTTTCGATACATGTTTCATATGGCTTTCAGTGACCATCGTACGTGGTTTCATGATTTTCTTATAGTTTCAGCGGATGTTCCGGTGGACATTTAAAAAAAAAATTGAAATTCAAATGAAACACTGATGATTTTATTTGTCGATGCACATTTTATATGGCTTTAAATGGAAGTTTTTTGAGGCCATGATTTCGTATAGTTTGGGTGTCTGTTTGATTTTCACAGTGGTTTGAGTTTCACCCGATGCTTTCAACGAGTTTCAGATTCTTTTCTTTATCATTTCTATAGATCATGTGCAGTTTCAATGTAGTTTCGTACTAGTCCGATCCACCCAGATTTGTGTCGTAGCTTGTCTGAAACTATTTGATGCCTAATCAAAACCTTATTAAAAACATCAGCAAAACAGAGGGTTGTTGTGCTGAACAAGAAAGCACTTAATCACTGGTGAAAAAGAAAATCTTATGGACACTGAGCAGTTGTTAGCATTCCAAAAATGATATCCATCCTATTCTGCACAGCACGGTCACTCCCAGTGCCCACCAGTGAGCAAAATTGTGCCAGCGCCACATTTTTTGTCTGAAGTGCAGCATTCTTTCTATTCTGACCGTTTGACAAAAAAATGGTGTGTTCTGAGGCAGAGACTTCGTCTTCGCATGGTGGTTTGAACGGCCGCGTTCCTCTCTTTTCTTGTCTTGTTAATTTATTTATTTTCTTCACTCGTCATTTTTACTCGATGAATCGCACGTGCAAGTTCACTTCACCGGGAGAGCAATAGCTAAGCTGGGATATATAAGTACCCACACATCAGCTTCCTCTTGACAGAACCCACCACCGATCGATCATAATCAGGTTTGGAACACTGATTTATTTTTTGAACTTTTAAATATGGAGTCACCTAGTTGAGTGAAAATTGCTTGTCTGCATACGATATTCATGTGCCATTTATGCTCTTCACTCCTCTCCGCGCCATGTATAAGTAGATATCTTTGCTCTAAATCAAAAGGGCATATTCCCTACTTTGTATAGATAAAAATATACATTAGCAGAAACAAATGGGCAAAGCCATTTCACAAGGATGTATTACCTACCTCTGAAATGACCTGAACTGGATTCACAAAGAAAAGAAAAATAAGATAATAGATATTCCATCTGTAAAGAAATATTTTGCTGGACAAGAGGGGAGAGGCGACTCCACGATACCGCCCGACGGCCACTCCAGCCACGGCGCCCACCACCACGGCCGGCCAGGCCGCCGCCTTGGGCCTGGCCTGGCACGTGCCTCTCTCACTCCCGTCGTCTCTCCCGCCTTGGGACCTCCCTTTGGCTATGACTGCAATGGGCGCCGGGGCGGCCGATCCTGCCCTGTCCGGTGGGATCGCGCCGGGAAGGGACATCTCTGCCGCCAGTGACGACGACATCCATCGTGGCTGCTTGCTCCGCGGCGGGTTCTTGGCCTCCTCGACCCCCGACGCCCTGCGGAGAGCGGCTACCAGTGGCGACGGGCCTCTTCACCGCTCGCCGGGGGAGGCTCGTCTTGAGTTCTCACTCACCTACTTCTCCTCTCCGGTATGTTCTCCTCTGTCCACCGCCTCCGCCCTCTCCTTGCCCACGCTGGTCTGGCTCGAGGTGCTGCTGCCTGTGCCGGCGCCGCCACCGGCCGCTGTGGTGGCCTTGCTCAACGGTTGGATAGGCTCGCCTTTTGCTTACCCTCTAATTCATCAGGTTAGCGCTTGCTTATTCTCGTTTACTGTGGCCAACCGTAGTATTGCAAACTTCATTCTGTCGCTGGAAGGGGTTAATTACAAGGGGCTGGTCACTAGTAGAAAAAGAGGCTTCCGTCCAGCCCCATTAGTCGCGAAACTGTAGGAACCGCGACTAATGAAGTCTTTAGTCGCGGTTCGGCAGACGAACCGCGACCAAAGGCTTGGGCCAGGGCGCTCGGTGGCCAGCTGGTGCACGTGAGGGGCTTTAGTCGCGGTTGGCCAGGCCAACCGCGACTAAAGGTGCCCAAAGGCCTTTAGTCGCGGTTGGCCAGGCCAACCGCGACTAAAGCTCCTCCCCTATATATACCAGTTCAGCGCACTCACTTAGCCATTTGGTGCCACTTCTCTTCACAAGGGGGTGTAGGTTTGCTTTTGGTTCCTCTTATGCACACAAGGTGTTTGATGAAATGCCCAACAGCGTGAAACAAACATGATATGAAGTGTTGGAGCCACACTTGAGGTTCCTCCTCGATCGCGGTTAGCAACTTGAACCTTTCATGCATGTGTGTCATTGATAAAATATGCATGTGTGTTGTTCATTGTCTAATTTCTATTGTTTATAGCTAGTTACTTTAACAAATGCATGATGGTTAATTATATATTTTATATTATAATAATGCAGATGAATCGGCAATGGATGTACGGTAACCGACTCTCCCGCGAGTTCACTACGGGTTTGAAAGATTTCCTCGTAGTGGCTAATGCGAACAAGCAGAAGGGTTTTGTTATCTGTCCATGTGTTGACTGTAAGAATCAGAAGGGTTACTCTTCCTCAAGAGAAGTTCACCTGCACCTGCTTCGGCACGGTTTCATGCCAAGCTATAATTGTTGGACCAAGCATGGAGAAAGAGGGGTTATAATGGAAGAAGATGAAGAAGGGGATGATTTCATCGATGAAAGCTATCTTGCTCATTTCGGTGATACTTTCATGGAGGATGCTGAAGGTGAAGGGGAAGGTGAAGGGGCAGGTGAAGGGGAAGGTGAAGGGGAAGGTGAAGGTGAAGGTGAAGAAGAGGCACGTGATGAGACCGTTGATGATCTTGGTCGGACCATTGCTGATGCACGGAGACGCTGCGAAACTGAAAAGGAGAGGGAGAATTTGGATCGCATGTTAGAGGATCACAGAAAGTCGTTGTACCCTGGATGCGATGATGGTCTGAAAAAGCTGGGCTGCACACTGGATTTGCTGAAATGGAAGGCACAGGCAGGTGTAGCTGACTCGGCATTTGAAAACTTGCTGAAAATGTTGAAGAATATGTTTCCAAAGAATAATGAGTTGCCCGCCAGTACGTATGAAGCAAAGAAGGTTGTCTTCCCTCTAGGTTTAGAGGTTCTGAAGATACATGCATGCATCAACGACTGCATCCTCTACCGCGGTGAATACGAGAATTTGAATGAATGCCCGGTATGCACTGCATTGCGTTATAAGATCAGAGGCGATGACCCTGGTGACGATGTTGAGGGCGGGAAACCCAGGAAGAGGGTTCCCGCCAAGGTGATGTGGTATGCTCCTATAATACCACGGTTGAAACGTCTGTTCAGGAACAAAGAGCATGCCAAGTTGTTGCGATGGCACAAAGAGGACCGTAAGTCGGACGGGGAGTTGAGACACACCGCAGATGGAACGCAATGGAGAAAGAATGACAGAGAGTTCAAAGATTTTGCAGCTGACGCAAGGAACATAAGATTTGGTCTAAGTACAAATGGCATGAATCCTTTTGGTGAGCAGAGCTCCAGCCATAGCACCTGGCCCGTGACTCTATGCATCTACAACCTTCCTCCTTGGTTGTGCATGAAGCAGAAGTTCATTATGATGCCAGTGCTCATCCAAGGTCCGAAGCAACCCGGCAACGACATCGATGTGTACCTAAGGCCATTAGTTGATGAACTTTTACAGCTGTGGGGCAGACCTGGTGTCCGTGTGTGGGATGAGCACAAAAAAGAGGAATTTAACCTACGAGCGTTGCTTTTCGTAACCATCAACGATTGGCCTGCTCTTAGTAACCTTTCGGGACTGTCAAATAAGGGATACAATGCATGCACGCACTGCTTACATGAGACTGAAAGTGTACATTTGCCAAATTGTAAGAAGAACGTGTACCTTGGGCATCATCGATTTCTTCCGAAAATTCATCCAGTAAGAAAGAAAGGCAAGC